GAGGGGCAGCAGTTCATGGCAGCAGAAGACAGCAAAAGGAAAAGAGCAAAAGGAAGGAGTAGTGATCAAGCCTCTTTCCCTCCCTTATATTGTATGCAAACTACCCCAGGGCGGGGGTAGCACTCACACCCATATCCCAGTATTGGACCAGGAATCAATTAAAATTGTAGAAGCCTGACCCATGACTGCATGAGGCTTTGAGGGGACATCTAGACACAAACCATAACACCCTGTCTCAAAAAAACAAACAGACAAAAAAAAAGGTGACTCATGCTTGTGTTTACTGTTCTGATCTAGGTGACCACAAAGTAACAGAGACGTGTAGAACATTAGAGGATGCATGTGCACTTACTCCTCCCGTGGGAATTTCTGTTTCATTTTTCTTAAGGAGTTTTCTCAGGTGATATCCTTTACCATATTTTAGATTAGCTAGAAATGAAAATTGACATATTTCTTAGTGGAAGACCTAAAAACAATTTTTTTCATTTCTTCCTTGCTCTGAAATCAACTTTGTATACTTGAATTACTTGTGGCTTGTTTTGTGTTGGGAGGAGCTTGATTTTTTTTTCTTTTTTTGGGGGTACCAGGAATCAAACTCACGACCTTGTGCTTGTCAGGCAGGTGCTATGCTGCTGAGCTATATCCCCAGCCCCCTGCCCTCTTTCTTTGAGACAAGGTCTTACTTTGTAGTTCCGGCTGGCTTCTAATTGATGAGCCCAGACTGGTCTCAAACTTGTGACGATCCTTCTGCCTCAGCCTCCTCAGTGCTGGGTTTATAGGCATTCTACAATGCCCGGTGAATTACTTGTTTGAAGGAACAGGATTAAAGTACTTGAAATATCTATTCAGTGTTCAATATCAACATTTGAAGAACAATTAGAGCTGTTTAAAGATGAAATATGTTCCTGTAGGAGGCAGAGGAAGCCTCCCTCCTAGGTAGAAACTATGATGTAAATTAAAACCCTGTGAGACAGTAGTAGAGCTCGATGATACGTAGGTCCCTTGTGTAAAGCCTTTGATCCGGGTTCTGTCATTACGTGTTTTGTTGCTGGGCAGTATGCTTTCATGAGCATAAGGTTGGGGTTAGAAAAGCATGTCCTGTGTAATGCAGGTAGTCCACTCTGGTGACCCCAAACTACCACTCGCTGTCCTTTGCCTGGAGGGTGTGATACTTTCCCGGAGAACTTGCGGGCCTCTGTCTTGTCTTCATTTTCATCGGAAAGTCCTGAGTGCTGGTTGGCCACCATGCTGAGGAACTCGTACCTGACGGACACATTTGAGACAGGAAAGAGAGTCCATGTGAAGCTTCAGTGCAGCTATTTTAAAGAAGGCTTTTATGTTTCAACGTTGTGTGTTTATTTCGTGTTGAGACAGAGTCTGTACATGTAGCCGAGGCTGACCTCAAACTCTCGGTGATCCTCTTGCCTCAGCCTCCTGAGTACAGGGATTACAGGCGTGTGCCGCCATGACTTGACTTTGCCATTTTTAAGTGAGTGCTTTATCAGCTGCTTACACCACAGGAATCAGGGAAATCCGTGGGAGTTGTAGAACCATGTTCTAATTAGAGTCTGTTGGTGTTTTTCAGAATGAAGCGATGACGGGTTCTCACACCCAGAACCGAGTCCTTTCCCGAATCACTTTGGCACTAATGGAGGACACCGGGTAAGGAAGCTGTGAGGGAGTGATAGGTATTGTTACTATTTTTTGTTTCTTTTTCAGACAGGGTCTGTCTATGTAGTTCAGGCTGGCCTTGAACTCACCTTGTAATCCAGGCTGACCCCAAACTCAGCGATCCTCCTGCCTCAGCCTCCCAAGTGCTGGGATTATAGATGTGCATTGTAACTCCTGGGTAAATCTTGATTTAAAAAAAAAAAAGTGGATGTGGACACATACACACCCACCATCCTGCACATATTTAAACCCCAGTGTAGTCCCTTGCTAATTCGTGTCTTCGACCTCATGTGTGAAGTGTGGCTGGAGGTGACACCTTGCAGCGCATAGGAGCCCTGACTGGGTCAGGACACTGAGCGCCCTCAGTACGCTGCTTGGCTCTTGTAACCCACACTGAGTGCTGAGGAGGACAGGCTTCTAAGTGGGGCGCATGAGGGGTGAGGGGTGGATCTTGGGCATTATATATAAATGCTGTGAGCCGGGCTTGGTGGCTGCGTGCCTGTCATCCCAGCACTTGGGAGGCTGAGGCAGGAGGATTGCCTGTGACTTCAAGGCCAACCTGGGCTACATAGCGAGACCCTGTCTCAAACAAAACAAAGCAAAGCAAACAGTCTGGAGATGGGAATCTTGGTGACAACATGCCTGAGAACCTGCAGTGCAGTCCTTTATCATGCTGATTTTGAGAGAAAGAAACGTTAACCAAGATTCACTCTCGTCCCTCCCCCGGCCCAGTTAGAAACCTGTCCGCCCCTCAGCGCTCTTGTGTCCACGCAGCGGGGCTCTGGAAACCTGCGGACCCACTCCCAGAGCGCCTTTCCTGACACTCACCCGCTGAAGACCTTTTCACACCCGCCCTCCCTGGATTAGCGTCTTCATGGGCGTGGGGCGCAGGAAGTGAGTTTATTCACTCACTGCTGCCGCCTCAGCGCCCAGCAAGGGCGGCCCAGCCAGGGCACCCAGCGGTCCCCGCGGCGTGCGTATCCGCCTGGTGCAGGGGAGCAGGCGCGGGTGCGCACTCCACACCGGGGGTTCGCAAGGGCTGTAAGGCCGCCGGCCTGTGTCCCCGGAGCCAGCACTTCCCGTCAGCGCTGCTAAGCTACTGCCGGTGTGTGGTGGGCGGGCACTGCCACTGTCCCCACGTCTGAAAGCAGTGCAGACGTCCGAGCCCTAATGCCTTCCTTCAGCTCTCTCAGTGAGAGCTCTGTTCTTGAAAGCTGTGGTTTGGAAGGGGCCACATGCCCTGTTTCTGCTTTCTTACTTGATTTTGTGGGAAGAGGAATGGATGGGATGATTCCTGCCATGCCTTTGAGCCTCTGTTTTTGTTTACTAAAGGGACAAGATATTATACAGAGGTAAGAAACTCTTTTGTATCCTTTAGAACTTTTGCAAACTAATCTTTTTTTTTTTTGTCGTTTTGAGATAGGGTCTCACTATGCAGTTCAGGCTGGCCTTGAGCTCGCGGCAATCCTCCTGCCTCAGCCTCAGCCTCCCGAGTGCTGGGATTGTAGGCATGTACCACCACGTCCAGTTTGCAAACTAGTCTTATCCCTGAGGGAAAAAATAATAACTAGCCAGTGTGATGGTGCACACCTGCAATCCCAGCTTCCTGGGAGGCTGAGGCAGGACGACCACGGTTTGAGGCCAGCCTGGGCAACTCAGTGACTTAGCAAGGCCCTGTCTCGAAATAATAAAAGACTGGGATGTAGCTCAGTGGCAGAGCGGTTGCCCAGCATGTACGAGGCCTGGCTGCATCCCTAAAACCAAAAGAAGAAGAAAAAGTAACAAAAGTAAACTCACTGTCTTTGATTAAACTCAGCAGGAAATAAAGTGTTTTCTTTTTTCTGAAATTAGAACATTTAAAAAACATCGCACACAGCATTCGCCTGTCCTGTCACAGTGGCATAGTGTTCAGTGGCAGGCAGGGCCATGACTGACAGGGTTGCAAAACAAGGCGGGAGCCTGGGGCCCTGAGCGCGGCCCACCCCCCACCCCCACCCCGCGTCCCATCGGTGTCTGCCTGCCTCTCACTGTCTCCGTCTCAGAGTCCTCACCGCCCTCGTCTCACAGCCCACCCACGGCCTCCTCCGCAGCCTCTGCTGTTTCTGAGCGCTGCAGTGGGGGCGTGTCGTGCCTTGTCTGGTGCAGATGCCCTGCGCGTGGGGCTGGTTGCCCGTCCCCGCCTCGGTGACCCGGTGTGGCAACTCCTTCTCTGCGCCATGACCGCCCGAGTCCCATGAAAGGTCCTGGTTTACTTGTTGGGGTTGGTAACCCGTATGCTAGACTTACATTTATTGATTTATTTACTTATTTTTATTTTTTGAGACAGCGTCTTTCTGTGTAGCCCCTGCTGGCCTTAAACTCAAGACCTCCCTGCCTCAGCCTCCAAAGGGCCGAGATTACATGTGTGTACCACCAACCTCAGCTTTAGACTCGTTTTTAAAATGACAGTGGTAACAGGGTTCTGCTCGGACTCTCCCCACAGCTGGTACAGAGCGAACTACAGCATGGCTGAGAAGCTCGACTGGGGCCGAGGGATGGGCTGCGACTTTGTGAAGAAGAGCTGCAAGTTCTGGATGGACCGGCAGAGACAGAAGTAAGCGCGAGCTCGGCCCAGCGTCTCTAGTTACACAGCTCATTTCTGTTTCCTTTACCCTGAATCTACCTCTTTGTGTTTTTGAGACAGAGTCTCTATGTAGTCCTGACTGGCCTTGAACTCATGGCAGTCCTCCTGCCTCGGCCTTCTGAGTGGTGATAGGTGTGTGCCTAGCTTTCATAAATACAGACAGTATCCAGGTTTGGGATGGGCAGGGTATGTAAGGACACACACACGTAAAGAGTGTAGGAATCTATATTTTTTATAACGGTGCTCTCAGAATAAAAGGTTAAATACATCCAAGTACATAAATATGTCTAAGTACATTATTGTCCCGGTGGGTAACATTTTGCAAGGCTGTCACCCAGCATCCTCACTGGGATGCTGACGCTGATCTGTCAGATCTGGAACCAGCCCATCACAGGGACCTGAGGTCCCTGTGCCACACCCGCCCCTCCCAGGCCGCCCCCCCTTACCCCCTGGAAACTGTGCCTTGTTCTCTGTCTGTCATTTCGTCATTTCAGAAATGCCACACACGGTTCAAGCTGGATATAAATACTGGATGTAAGCTTCTGGGATTGCCTGTTTTCACTCAGTAACTGAGAACTGTTTCTTCCTCTGGGTGATGTTCCGTTGCGTGGCTGACTGGTTTGTTTGAACACTCACATGTTGGAGCCTCTCTGGCCTGTTCACAGTTTTGCGCTATTGAGAAGGAAGTGGCTGAAGACATTTGTGTCCTGGCTTCTGCATGAGCGTAAATCTTGATCCCTACAGAGGAAGTACCTGGGCGGCAGCGGCCGGCCCATCCTCAGCTGCGGGTTAGTGTGTGAGGAACCTCCCCGCCTTTTCCCGCAGTGCTGTACACTCGGTGTCCTGGCAGCGATGTAGCATGATGGTCTCTTCACGCCTTCCCGGCATCTGTTGTTTTTGCTCTAGCTGGTCGCAGGAACTCAGTGAGATTTTCCTGTAATTTTTAGTCTGCCTTTCCCTAAAGGTTATTGTGGTTGAACAGCCTTCCTTGTGCTTATTTGCCTTCTGTAGTCCTCCCTGGTGAATTGTCCCTTTCCTGTGTTAAGCCACTTTTCTAATTGGATTATTTGCTTTTGATTAGTATGCTTTGAGTGTGTTTATATACTCTCGATACTAGTTCTCGTCACGTGCGTGTGCATTGGACCCAGCTGTCTGTTACCCCTGAGCTACATCTGCGTTCCTTTTTACTTTTTATTTTTGAGATGGGGTCTCACTGAGTTGCCCAGGCTAGGTTCAAACTTGTGATCCTCCTGCCTCAGCCTCCCGAGTAGCAGGGTTTACAGATATGTGTCACTGTGCCTGGCTCAGATATGTAGTTTTGGAGGTATTTTCTCCTAGCCTGTAACATGTCTTTTTATCTTCTTACTAGGGGTTTTTGTAAAGCAATTGTTTTTAGTTTTAATGATGTCCAAATTACCCATTTGTGTTTTATGAACTATTTTTTTTTTAACAGCGCTTTGCTTTGTGCCCCAGGCTGCTCTAGAACTTGCAGTCTTCCTGCGTCAGTCTGCCAAATGCTAGGACTCCAGGCGTGTGCCAGCACATGCAGCTGAATTAAGTTTTTAATGTGAAGTCTCAACTCTTGGGCGAGCCCTCCTAGACCTCAAAATTTTTCTTAGGTGTTTTTCAAAATTTATAATAGGCCGAAGGTACAGCTCGGTGCTAGGCCTTGTCTAGCATTGTACAAGGCACTGGTTCAAGCTCTAGCACCACCAAAAAAATTTTCAGTTTTACACTCTGTGTTCGAGTCTGTGGTCCATGTTGAGCTGCTTTTGTACGAGGTCAGCTGCCGCTGGGGTGGCTCATGTGCTGGCTGCTGAGGAGGCTGTCCGCCCTCCTTCGAGTGGCCTTCGTGCCACTGCCCCAAAGGTCAGGCGGTGTGTGGGCCTCTTTCTGTGTGGCCTGCCCTGTCCCCCCGTCCCCATGTCTGTCCCCCTTCGGGACAGTGCCTGGTCCCTCCTCCATGCGCAGGTCTTGAAATTGGTGGCCTGAGACCCAGTCTTCCTGCTTTATTCTTTATCAGAGAGTGTTTGGCTCTTTTGGTCCTTTGCCTTCCCATATAAAAATAATCCCATCTCTGTGTCAGAAACAAACCTTGCTGGGATTTTTACAAGAATTGCCTTAACCCCATATATCTGAGGAGAACTGATACCTTTATTAAATTCCCCAATAAAAGAACACAGGCAGAAAACACTCATTTTTTTTCCTATTAAATGCAAGGTTTGCTATAGATTATTTTTGTCAGTTCTCTGTAAAATTTGAGAAAGTTCCCCTGTATTCCTATTTTTCTGAGTTTTTATCATGAGTGGATGTTGACTTTTTTCAAATGCTTTTTCTGGTTTAATTGATATAGTCTTGTGTTTTTGCTTTGTTTCTGTTTTTTGCTTTTTTGTTTGTTTGAGACAAGGTCTCATTATGTAATTCAGGCTGGACTTAAACTCACTGTGTACCCCCAGCTAGCCTCAGACTCTCAGTGATGATCCTCCTGCCTCAGCCTCCTGAGTGCTAGGACTATAGGTGTGTGCCATCATGCCCAGCTAGTCTTCTGTCCTTTGAGTCAGAAGCCAATGGTCAGTAAACTTCCGTTGGTTTAAAAAAACAGCTAGGAGATATTATAGGGTTTGAGAGCTGTTAGAGTATTTGTTACAGCTACTCGGTTCTGCTTTTGCACAGCGAGAGACATGGAGGGGTGGCTATGCTCCGGTAATACTTTATTTTATACAGATTCAGTGGTAGAGCATTCGTGTAACATACTCGAGGCCCTGGGTTCCACCCCAGTGCTGGAAAAAAGAAAAGAAAAAGCTGTGGGAAAACCAAGCACATGGAAAGCAGGTCCTAGGCGGACCTGAGGCCAGGACTGGGCTTCCAGCCCTTCTGCACGGTCTGTATCCTGGGTGTGAGGGTGGAGTGCAGCATCCCCCAGGACGGACGGTCTCTGGCGCTGCGGGCTCACTGCGCGTGGCAGGAACCGTGTCAGGGTGGGTGGCACCAGGCACGGCCGCCCGCAGGGTCCTTCTGGTGCCGGCACCTGTGCCCGCCAGTGCCCTTCAGTGAGCTGCCGCGGGCGGGGGCTGACGCGGCTTCTCTGCCAATGTCCTTCTGCGCTCGCTGTCCGGCTGCCTTGGCCCATCCAGTGCCGCTGGTCGAGGGTTTCAGTGTACATTGTAGTTAGTGAGAGTTAAATAGAATGTAAGCCCCGCTCCCTCAGCCAGCAGTGCCTTGATGACACCAGAGGCGGGCAGTTCCAGCTTTGGCGCTTTTTAAGTCACTAATTTGTTTTCTTGTTTGGTGGTGCTAGGAACTGAACCTCGGGCCTTGCCCTGAGCTACAGCCCCAGCCCTTTTATATTTTTAAAAACAGGATCTCACCAAGTGGTCCCAGGCTGGACTTGAACTTTTTTTTTTTCTTTTTGTCTTTTTGAGACAGGGTCTCACTGTGCAGTTCAGGTTGGCCTTGGGTTCACTTGGTAGCCCTGGCTGGCCTTGAACTCGCAATGATCCTCCTGCCTCAGCCTCCCGAGTGCTAGGATTATAGGCATGTGCCACCACGCCCGGCTGGATTTGAACTTGTGATGCTTAAATCACTATTTCTTTTTAGTTCCACTTTATTCATTTAGTTAAAACTTTTCTGTGGTTTCTCTCTTTTCTTTTCTTTTTTTTTTTTCTTTTCTTTTGCAGCCAGGTCCTTGCACATCTCACACGTGCTGGACAAACACGTGACCCCTAGCTGCATCGCCAGCCCAGATGCTACAGAAATTTAAATGAGACAAGGATTAGTCTTGCCTAAAATAAAACTAAAATAGGCTTTTTACCCTTAACAAACATGTGGTAGATGACCAGTGATCCCTTCATAATTTTGTAGGTCCTCTTTTATTAGGATTTTAATTGCTTAGGAGTGCTGACACTTATAACATTCCTATTATGATACTGGTATAATTTTTATTATAAATTACCAGTTTGAGCTGGGGGTGATGGTGAATGCCTGTAATCCGGCACTCTGAAGGCTGAGGCAGGAGGATCTTTGAGAGTTGAAGGGGATCCTGGACTAGTGAGTTCAAGGCTAGCCTGCACTACAAAGTGAGACCCTGTCTCAAAAAAAAAAATTACCAATTTAATGACTAATTAGAATTACCAGTTTGTTTGAAGGTTGTATTAATGTCACAGGTCTTGGTTATCTTCTGAGAATTTTTAATGTCCTGTTTTTCAAATTATACTTCCAAGAATAGATTTAATAGAGAACAGAACAAACTGTTAACATTAGGAATGGTCACACAGCCAGAGTTGTGGTGGCGCACGCCTGTAATCCCAGCGCTCAGGAGGCTGAAGCAGGAGGATCATTGCAAGTTCAAGACCAGCCTGGGCTACAAAGTGAACTCAAGGCCAGCCTGAACTGCATAGAGAGACCCTGTCTCAAAAAGACAAACAAAAAAAAAAGAATAGTCACACAATTTTCATTAATTTCGGGAATATAAAATTAATTATCTTACGAATATTTTTAACAAGTTGTCAAATTTAATTCTTTTTGTTGTTGTTTTTTGAGACAGAATCTCACTATGTAGTTCAGGTTGGTCCTGAACTCACTGTGTAGCCCCTGCTGGCCTCATACTCACAGAGATCCTTCTGTCTCAGCCTCCTGAGTGCTGGGATTACAAGGATGCACCACTGTACCTTGCCTGTCTAATTGAATTCTTTAAGACAGATTATGGCATAGAAAAAAAAATTCACTCTTAATAGCCACAGGACACATTACAACCCTCTCTTCCTGAGACTACATTTCTTAATTGTGAAGATTGGATTTTTAATCCACAAGCTGAAATTTCATTCATTGGCATTAAACACACAAAGCAAATCTGTAGGACTATTTTACTGGCAAAAGCAGAGAAAAAGATAAATAGGATTTTTATATGCCTCTAGCATTGATCATTCCCATCTAATGAAGCATTTTCTTTTGCTTTTTGAAAAACAACTTTATAAGTTGCTCATGGTGGCACATGCCTGTAATCCCAGCACTGGGGAGGCTGAGGCAGGAAGATCGCCGTGAATTCAAAGCTAGTCTGGGCTACATAGTAAGTTGAAGACCAACCTGAACTATATAGTGAGACCCTGTCTCAAAAAGGAAAAAAAAGAAAAGAAAAGCAACTTTATAACTTGACTCAGCAATGTCCTATATATTATGACTGTACTGTATTGAGATAGTACTAGAAAAGAGGAACTTGACAGTGGGCCTGCGAGTTCTTCCTGGCGTTTGATGCCGAGGCGTGTGCTTTTTTGTGCAGGGGGCAGGCGCTGAGCCCTTACTGTGACACGCTCAGGAGGAACCCACTGCAGCTGACCTGCAGGCAGGACCAGAGGGCCGTGGCCGTGTGCAATTTGCAGAAGTTCCCTCAGCCGTTGCCGCCAGAGTACCAGGTAACACTCGTTCTGCCACAGTTTTAAGAATCAGTTTTTAGAAAGTATTTGCCATTTTGAAACTAAGAGGGTAAATTTTCTTAAACTCTGTGTGTGTGTGTGTGTGTGTGTGTGTGTGTGTGTGTGTGTGTGTGTGTTATAATAGGAGTTCAAACCCAGGACACTTAAATCCCCAGCTTTTTTTTACTTTCTGTTTTATTGATTGATTGATTGATTGATTGAGACAGAGTCTAACTACATAATTCAGGCAGGCCTGAACTTACTATGTAGCCCAGACTGGCATCGAACTTGTGGGAGCCTCCTGCCTCAGCCTCCTGAGTGCTGGATTACACGCATCCACCACCACGCCCAGCTTTATTTTCTATTTTGAGACAGAGTCTCCTTAAATCACTAAATTGCCCAGGGTGGGCTGGAACTTGTGATTATCCTGCCTCAGCCTCTTGGAGTGTTGGGATTACAGGGGTGTGCCACTGTGTGCTACTACTTATAAACCTTTTAGAATCAAAGGCCCTGTGGTTTTTTTTTGTTGTTGTTGTTTTTCTCCGGTACCGGGAACCGAACTCACGACCTTGCGCTTGCCAGGCAGGCGCTTTTGCCGCTGAGCTAAATCCCCAGCCCCCCTGTGTGTTTTCTATGTTAGAAAAAGGTGAGGAATTCCTCCATTTCTTTATAATTACTGAGCTTCTTTGCACATTTCTGACCTCACCAAGTGCCTCAGACACCAGGGTGTGACAGTGCCTTCCTAGATGTGGTATTACAACTCAGTAAGTTGGTATGAAATGTGAAATCTTCTAAAAAATAGAATCTTCAGAGGAGAAATAATGATATCTCGATCCTTTTGATGTTCTGAGTTCTTTATAAATATAATCATGTATTATCTCAGTTTTTTTTTTTTTCAAGGTTGTCAAAACAGCACACCTATTAAGTCTCCTAAACACATTTGTTCATTTTATTTATTTATTTATTTACTTACTTATTTGAGGCAGGCTCTCACTATGTTTTCCAAGCTGCACTTAACTGATCCTCCTGCCTCAGCTTCGCTGGTAGCTCTCTCTATAGGCTGATATCGTCACGCGTGGCATTTTGTTTTTAAAGCATCTTAATTCTGGGTGTTAGCTTTATGTTTTATCAACTTAAAATTCTTCCTTTTGCACATGTTAGTTCTGTTTCATCCTTTGAAAACATTAATCAAATGCAGGTTAATTTACTTACTCTGGTTATTTCTAAAATTACAGCAGCCTCAAAATATCTGCCAGGTGGGGCACGTTCTGTCCGCTTTGTGTTGCGTAGTGCCTGACGGGAACTGGATCAGTGTCTTAGGTCCGGCAGCAGTCGAGGGTGCTGTCAGCTGCCCGTGGACCCCTCTCCCTGTCTCCCTCTCTGCAGTACTTTGACGAGCTCGCCGGGGTCCCCGCAGAAGACCTGCCGCACTATGGCGGCGCGGTAGAGATCGCGGACTACTGCCCTTTCAGCCAGGAGTTCAGCTGGCATTTAAGCGGCGAGTATCAGCGCAGCTCGGACTGCAGAGTCCTGGAGAATCAGCCAGGTGAGCGGCGCTGTGAGAAAGCGTCGCACGCACGCACGCGGGATCCCACCCCGGTGACACACACACTGACGCCGCCCGGGGTGAGCCCCTGCCTGTGAGGAGCTGCTGGCTTCTCCCGCCTGGCTCCTCCTCGGTGCCGCAGGGGCCTGATGCAGACACCGCTTAGGGCCTGTCCCGAATCCTGGGCCTCCCTCACTCCCGCACAGCTCCTCGCCTGGGAAGCACTCTCATCGCTTCTCGTTTTATTTTTCTCAAAACCTTCAGAAGTGTGAGGAAGCTGTGACTGAACACTGAGGGATACAGCTGACTGGTGTCAGCGCGAGGTCCTTCAGCACAGGGGAGTTTTATGAAAGCACCACACACAGCCTGTTGGTCCCTCTCCTGGGCAGTGTATGTCTGTGTCCCTTAGAAATAACACATCACTCTTCGGATCTCAGATAGTACTGTCTTCCCAAGGCCAGTGAGCTGTGTTGCTGTGTCGTTTATTTGCATTGATCCATCATATTGAACAGTACATCGAAGTGTTCTGTAATGATGGCTGTAGCTCATACTACTTGCCCTTGTAAACAGAAGTACTCTTAGATCTGATATGTTAATAAAAGGCAAAATAGAGTGAGTGAGGCGCATGCCTGTAATCCCAGCGCTCTGGGAAGCTGAGGCAGGGGGATCACAAGTTTGAGCTTGGCCTTGGCAGTTGAATGACTTAAACTGCCAGTCTCAGAATACAAAAATAAGAACAAAGAAAAGAAAAGGCTGGGGATGTAGTTCAGTGTGAAAGTCCTGGCTTAATCCTCAGTACTGCAAAAAAAAAGTTAGTTTTTTTCTCCTTTCAAGTTTTTCAAACTGGTGCTCCCTGCCCCTTCCAGCTT